GCCAACATGCCAACATTTGGAATGATCGTCACTTGAGCTTAATTACTGGAGAGTTCTCATTCGTTATTTCAACTACTTAGGGTATCGCCACTACCTAGTTCAATCACCTCCTATGATTAAGATTAGGATTAGGACCAGGAACAGCAACAGCAACAGCAACAGGAACAGGAACAGGAACAGGAACACGTAAAATACCATGCACTAATACTTCGGGAACTACTGAAGCCGCTCCAACATACTCATTCAGCCGTTGCCAACGAAGAACCATTGAAGATCGACATATGTACCACAGAGACAATGTGATCTAAAGCCACTTGCTTTATAACACCAAGTCCCAAACGGGAAGGGGCTCTCCTCCAGCTTGCCTACCTTAGAGCTTAAAATTTGGGGAGTGATGCAAGGTGCAAGCCAAGCTCTCCCTATTTGTTGTGCTAACCATCTGATCAATACTCGAGTATAGTAAACAACCTAGGCGAGCTGGGTATGGATGTAGTGTCAGAACCCTTACCTCCTTTTACGCTTATCCGTATTCAACCTCTTGCAGTTGTCACTTTGCTAATCGGTTTTTGATCATTCAATGAAGTAGCAAGTTATTCGAGATACCTCTGTCAAATCTCAAATATATCGTAAAAATCACCAATACCATGACCAATGTCACCAACATCATCAAAATCACCATTTCTACCAATATCACCATTTTCAGCAATGTCATCAATATTATTTTTCCAAGGTGACTTTGATATTGGTGACTTTGATATTGGTGACTTTGATATTGGTGACTGAGTACGAATACAGTATGGTTCGAATCATTCCGGAATTTTCAACATCCGGTTAACACTCTTCCCGAGGCTAGCTGGACTGGAATTACATCAAGCTAACATTCAACAAAGACAGATGATCCCTTGGCTATTTGAGACTAATCCCACTATCGACATCTTGCAATTCCCCATGTCTCCTTGCCATCATCCCATATGTTGGTTCCTTTGGAGTTCGGGAACTAGTGATCAGTGTCACGGCCTGGCGTATTGCCGGTCGAATCTATTACCTGATAGAGTCATTTTCAAGGTCGATATTGAGGATTGCAGTAGAAAGTCAAAGGATAATTCGGAAAGAGCAATGACCGGACAGAAGTCTATAATCGTCATGGCAATTGCTAACTATATAATTGCTTGTTTATCCTGCTTTTATCAGTCCTTAACCAACACACAATTCTGCCTTCCTCTTCGTTTTCCAATTAAACTACTTACTTTCAACAATTGCCTAAGTCAAATCTCTCTCCCAATCAATCACAACCACCATGCTATTCTCTAGCACCACCATCGTCGCTATTGCTAGCATCTTAAGTGTTGCATCAGCTCTTCCAACAAAAAGACAAGCAGCGCCAACCGATGCGGACATTCTCCAATATGCCTTGACGCTCGAACACCTAGAGAACGCATTTTACAAGAAGGCTCTCAGTGAAATGCCAGAACAAATGTGGCTCGATGCAAATTTCACCTCTTCCTTCTACAATCAATTGAAGTACATTGCGCATGATGAAGAGGCACATGTTGTCTATCTTCAAAGTGGCCTCACCGCTGCAGGTGCTGCCCCTGTTCAAGCTTGTGAATACAAATTTCCATTTACGGATCCAAAATCATTCGTTGCTCTCGCTTCCGTCATTGAGGGTGTCGGTGTTTCCGCTTACCTCGGAGCAGCAGCCGACATCACATCAAAGGCCTACCTTACCGCAGCTGCGTCTATACTTGCCACTGAAGCTTTACATCAATCTGCTGAACGCAACGCGAATGGTGAAATTCCAATGGCCAATCCTTTCGCCACACCCCTTGGATTGAACGCCGTCTACTCCATCGCGTCATCCTTTATCGTCTCTTGCCCATCTACCAATGCTGCCTTGCCCGTAATGGCCTACCCATCCCTCGCCCTCAAGTCCGGCTTGCCTACTGCACCAGGCGCCAATGTTGCCCTTGTACCAGAGACGGCTCCTTCCGGGACGTTCTTTACTACCTTTGCGAGCGGACTCGACACTATCGCTGTTGAGAGCCAAGTCGGCAGTGACGGTTTAATCATGACTGCAGTTCCAATGAACATCTCGGGACAGAGTTATGCCTTCTTGACCAATGACAATTCTGGCACCTTAACTGATTCCAACATCATTGCTGGTCCAGCTATTATTGAGGTTACACCTGATTCGCCAACATTCGATTTATCAATCATCTAAAACAGTGGCTTTTTGCATGGTGGAGGTATGAATAATAAATGGTAGTAATTTTTGGATGCATTCGGTGGTCAAATAATGGTTTTAATGGGGTGTGTGCTGAGTACTATTTTATATCTAACAACGATACCCTCGTCAACTTCTGAACTTTTCAATATATAGAATAATATTCAACAAATAAAATTATTAGCAGATGTTCTTCGGGGAAATAGTGTTTTTTGCATTGACATTCTTCGATTTAATCTTCAATTCATCCAATGTCGTAAAGCGAAGCATTTGCCTAATCAATTGCCCCTCTCTGCCCCTCTCGAGCCCCTCCGCCAAACAGCCCACAAAAGAAAGGAAAATTTTCCTTCCAACCCACCTTTAGTTCGAGCTACGGGATGGCTAATATATTGCTTAATATATATATTTAAGTCATCAATTGTTACAAACAGTCATAGATTCCATCAGATGTATATTTATCTAAAGGTACTGGCCTGCTGGCCCAATGGCAAGGCGCTTGACTACGATACATGTAGGGGCTGAAAAACTTCTATACAGTTGATATCAAGAGATTGCAGGTTCGATCCCTGCGTAGGTCAAATACTTAGGAGCATGTCATCTATTTGTGTGTAACAGATATTTTGCCAAATTTGATTACGCAGCGTCCAGAATTTGGTTTGCAAGCTATTTTTGACGAAGTTTTGCACTTCTCAATGGCTAACTTAACGTTTCTAAGCATTCGATTCTTCAAGGATTCTCCAGTACTGTCAGATGGATCGATCTTTTTGGAACGAATGGTGGGCAATATAGTTACAAAACTAAGATCGGATTATTCAAATGCCCGTCTGGGAGCAACCGATGTCGTCGAGTATACGTTCCCTTATTTTCGGAAGTTAGGATAGTCCAATGATAGAAGTATAATAAAACTGTACGCTATAGAACTCGGTGTTCGTTTTGATAATGTTCTTCAGTGTCTTTCGATCCTTTACATCAGCCTGGGTCATAGGTATCAAAGAATCAATAAGAATTTATTCCTCGCTTAACCGATATCCCTGCTACGTGCACGACCCTACTATGTGTACGCTTTTATTATTTATATAGAAAATTGAATTAAAAGTTGAAAAAGCGATATTATAATTTGAAATTCAAAATTGAGATAATTGAAATAAACTTATATAATATTTTGAAATAAAAAAATTAAAAATCTCAAAAATTATAATAATAATAATGATAAATAAGATATCAACTTTTATAAAAAAAATTATTTATTTATTAATATATTTTATAATATAATTAAAAATATAAGTATTTTTTAATGAAATTATGAAATTCCATATATTATAATATAAGATATTTGAAAAAAAAAACTAAAGTTTTTTATCGAAAATTTGAAATTATATTAATATTAAATTCTAATATGTTTTATAAAAAATATTTTAATAATTAATTATTAATAGAATAATGAATTTATAATATTTTATTCTATTTTTAAGTTATATAATAACAATAATCTTTTAAAAAAATATAAATATAACTGTTTAAGATCTATAACTTATTAATATTATATTTAAATAAAGATTTATAAAAACTTATTAAGAATTTGATTTAATCTAATAATAAATATAATATAAGTATTTATTAATTTTTTTTTAAAAATTTCAATTTTAAACTTTTCTGTTATATGGTTTTTAATCAATTTTTAAAGAATGAAACTATATTGATCAGATTTTGATTTAATAAAAAATTTAAATTTTGAAAATTAAATTATTAATTAATATTAAATCAATTTTTGTATAAAATAATTTTTTTAAAAACGAATTAATGATATTTTGAATTAAAAAAAACTTCTTTTTAAAGAATTTTATTTAAAAGAATTTTTATATAATTAGAATCTTATTATATATAATAGAATTAAGATTTAGATAATTTTAAAAATAAAATTTCAAAAATAAAAGATATTTTTTAAATAATTTTCTTTTATTAATCAAAACTTTATATATTTTAATATTTAATATAATTCCTTTTTTAAAAACTTATTTTTTAAATCTTTAATATTAAATATAAAATTTAAATTCATTTTAAAAAATATTTTTATCTTTTCTAAAAATATTATAAATAATTAAAAAAATCTGATAATCTATATTAAATTTAATTCTTTTTATTTTTTAATTTTTTTTTTTTTTTTAATATTATTGATATCAAAAAATCTATAAAAATTTATTATAATCCTATAAATAGATTCTAATATATTATTTATTGAGAAATTATATATCAAGATTCTATATTCTCTTTATTTAATTATTCAATCAATTCTTAATTTAATAATTCAAAATCCTTATAAATCCAAATTGATAATATTAGTTAATTATTGAATTGAATTTTATATTATTATAATGATTTTTAAATTTTAAATTGATTTTTGTTTTGATATAAAAAAGTGTGCACATAGTAGGGTCGTGCACGTAGTAGGGATATCGGTTAATGGTCACACCCATAGAAGAGTGCAACAAAAGATGGCTAAGGTTTACGATGTTATCATTGCTAGTGGAGGACCTGTTGGATTATTCTTGGCATGTGAGCTAGGATTAAGAGGTACCTCCGTCTTGATACTGGAGAGCAGCCCCAAATCAGAACTACCCTGGAAATTGAGCCATTAGGACGGTGAGGACTAAACACACCACCTGTTGAAGCATTTTACCAGCGAGGGTTGCTGTATAAGTTATTTGATGATGAGGATCAGCCGTTGACGATTCGGAAGATCTGTGGATTCCAGTTTGGTGGACACTTCGGTGGCATCATGCTCAATGCCAACAAACTTGAGCTCGACCGTTGGAAATACCGCCTTCCTGGGCCATCTCTGACACCCGGCCCGACGACCATCAAAAAAATCGAAGCGATGATGATCGAGCGCGCAGAGAGCTTGGGAGTTGCGATTCTTAGGGATAAAGCTGTGAACAAGATAGCAGCACAAAGCGAAATCGGAATCACGGTCAAGACCGGTGATGATGCGTCGTATAGCAGTAGATGGCTTATAGAGTAAGATGGTGGACATAGCAGTTAGTAAGGCTGCGCATTTTGATTTCATTGGAACAGAAACCAGATTCACAGGTCATGCATTCAAATGTGATTTCAACCATTCAGAAAATCTGAGACCTGGATCCATCTTACCAAAACTGGCGTGTACATCGTTGCAGGCATGAACTGTTTACATCTTGTGGGTTTTGATGGTGCTATATTTGATCGAAGGCAGGGAATTACGAGAGAGCACCTTCAGGACGTGATGAACCGAGTGACAGGAATCACAGACTTGGAAATCACAACTGTGCACCTTCTAGCCTCGTACACTGATCGATCGAAGCAGGCTAAAAGCTACCGCAAGGGCCGATTTCTCCTCGCTGGTGACGCGGCTCACATTCACTCGCCACTCGGAGCTCGAGCTTTAAATGTCGGCCTCGGTGATGCCATGAATCTAGGTTGGAAACTCGCGACAACGATTCGACAGGAGGCAATATCCAACAAAAATTCGGTAGTTCTTACACTACTTAACACATACGAAAACAAACGTCAGGGCCTGGGTTCTTGAGTGGACTCGTGCGCAAGTTGCCATGTTACAGCCTGACCTGTATGGAGCGGCTATTCAGACTCTTATTCGTGACCTTATTGATACTCAGGATGGAACTAATCTGTTTCTCGACCGTATCTGGGGTTTATCACAGCGATACATTCTCGGACAAGGGGATGGTTATACCAATTCACTCGTTGGGGCCAGTGCTCCAGATTTTAGGCTGGCTGACGGCTCGAGCTTAGGCTTGAAATTACAAAGTGGACGAGGTTTGCTGGTGGATTTCAAGAACAATGCAACACTCCATGAGTCAATCGATGATAAGTACACAAGTACAATAGATATTATCAGAGCGGGAGCAATGGCAAAATGCGGTGTGAGGGCCTTGTTAGTACGTCCTGACAGCGTCGTTGCTTGGCCAGTGGAAGACAATGATACGTTTAATACTAACGAATTTAACAATGTTTTGGAAAAAATGGTTCAAAGAATAAACTTGAAATGGAGGAGTCTTTTGTCTGTATTATATGTCAACAATAATTGATTTAGTCATTATAGTTTACTCCTCCAGATTCCGTTTATAGGAGAGCTATATTATTAATGGTTCGGAGCTGGTAATTATATCTTTAATATCATATAGAAAAGACGAAAATCTTACAAAAGTGTTTCGATATTACTTCAATGTAATATTTAACTTCAAATTCTGAATATAATAAATTTTACTTTTGATTATTTCTATCTTGAAGTACCTCTAATAAAAATGAGAATGTGATTCTAATCTGTATATTTCAAAATGCTATTTATAGCTACAAATCAATTGATTAATAAAAGGTTGAATGATTGACATAAATGATTATATAAATAGTAGTATAATTAATAGACTTCAGATCTACGTCTCAATGATATATTTAATATATTAATTCCTATTATAACGTAATTTATCAGCATGTGGGCTATATCAGTATATAAACCACTTTCACCTCAATTTACACTTTCAAATACAGATTATTCAATAATCATTATATTAATTAATTAAAACTATTAAAGATCTAATAATTTAGGATCTATTATATTATTTTAATAGATTTTTGAATTATAATCTAGTTTTTTAATATTTATTATAATATTTATTAGAAAATACTCTCTTATTAGAATTCCTTTCATTTTAATATTTATTTTATTATATCTAAATATCAATCTTTTATTAAAATAATATATCAAAAATCTTTTATTCAATAAATACTTCTTTTTAATATAATTAAGTTTTTTTTTATATTAATATTTATTTAATATCTTATTTGCTTTTCAAAATATATAAATCTTTATATTCAAAAATATAATTTTATAAATTAATCTCTTTATATTTTTAATTAAAATTAATATAATCTTAAATAAAAATATAAAAAAGCTTAATTGATAATAATTTATTTAAGATTTAATTAATATTGATTAAGAAAAAGCTTTAATTAGATTATAAGGAATTTAAGAGATTTATTAATCTAAATTGAAAAAGAAGGGGGGGGGGGGGGGATAAATATATAAATTCGAATATCTAACTTGGAAAATATAGTTTTAGAATTAAATAATATTAAATCTATTCTTTGAAATTCTGATTTTATATTTTGAGAAATAATTGATTTATTATATATAGTTTTAAAAGCTATAAAGAATTCAATTTTTGAAATATAATTGATATATATTTTAATAAATTCATTGATTTGATTATTATATAAATATTTTAGATTATTAAAACACTTAATATTAAATAATTGAATTAAATAATTTAAATACAATAATAAATGTAAATATATAATATTATTCTCTTTATAATATATTTAAAAAGCTATTGATTTATAATTTTTATATTTATTTAGTATTAATATTCAATATTTATTCTTTCTTCAATTCTTAATATATTTGCAATTAATCGAAATTATATTTTAATAAATTTAGAATTCTTATAAAAAGCTTTTTAAAAGTTATAAATATAATTAAAATATATCTTTAATTTGATTTAATATTTTATAAATCAATATGCCCAAAGCTTCTCAATATATTTCATATTCTTTAATTCAAGAATATGATTTATTATATTTTCTATATTCTTATATTTAAATAAAAACCCTTTCAAATTTATATTGAGAATATATTAAATAAATATTTTCTCTTTTAATTCAATTAAATTATAACTTTTTAATTGATTTTTAATCATATTAGATTTATTTTGAGTTCTATTATCTAATATAGTTTGAGATATATAATAAAACTGAGCTACCTTTTGAATTAATAATTTTTTATTTGATTCAATAGCTTGAATAACTGAGATTATATATGCTTCTTTAGATTAAATTTTTATAATTGATTATGAAGAAAACGTATATTGAATATAAAATAATAATTCGAGGTAAAAGTGACCGATCTATTGATATAGCTAATCCACTAATAAATCACATTATATTAAGAATCAAAGAAAAAACAAATATCAAATATCAATATTAAATAAATATAGAAGCTATAAATCAATAGTTTTTCAAATATATTAAAAAAAAACAATATTAAATATTTATAATTATTATTATATTTAAATTATTTGATTCAATTATTTGATATTAATTATTTTAATAATCTGAAATCTTTATATAATAATCAAATTAATAGATTTATTAAAATATATATCAATTATATTTCAAAAATTGAATTTTTTATAATTTTAAAAATTATATATAAAAAATCATTTATTTCTCAAAATATAAAATCAGAATTCTAAAGAATAGATTTAATATTATTTAATTCTGAAACTATATTTTCGAAATTAAATTCATATAATGTGATTTATTAGTATACAGGTTATATCAATATGCGAATTACTTTCACCTCAATTTACTCTTTCAAACTCATATTATTTAATAATTTTTAAATTAATTGATTAAAATTATAAAAATTAAAATAATCTAGGATCTATTATATTATTTTAATAGATTCTTATATTATATCCAATCTTTTTATATTTATTATAATATTAGTTAAAAATATTTCTGTATTATAATTCCTTTTTTTTAATATTTATTATATTAAATCTGAATATTAATCTCTTATTAAAATAATATATTAAAAGCTTTTTATTAAGTAAATAATTTTTTTAATATGATTGGATTTTTTTTGTATATTAATATTTATTTAATATTTTATTTCCTATCTGAAGTATATAAATCTCTATATTTAAAAGTATATTCTTATAAGCTAATCTTTTTATATCTTTAATTAGAATTAATATATTCTCAAATATAAATATAAAAAAACTTGATTAATATTAGATTATTCGTGGTTTTATTAAAATTAATTAAAAAGCAGCTTTAATTAGATTATAGGAAATTTAAGAGATTTATTGATTTAAATCAAAAAAAGAAAGAATAGATATATAAATTCGAGTGTCTAATTTTGAAAATATAGCTTTAGAATTAAATAATATTAAATCTGTTTTTCAAAACCCTGATTTTATATTCTAAAAGGTAATTGATTCTTTATATATAATTTTAAAAATTGTAAAGAATTCAATCTTCGAAATATAATTAATATATACCTTAATAAATTTATTAATTTGATTATTATATAAATATTTCAGATTATTAAAACAATCTGTATCAAATAATTAAATTAAATAATTTAAATATGATAATAAATATAAATATATAATATTTTTCTCTTTATAATATACTTAAAAGGCTTTTAATTTATAATTTTTATGCTTATTTAATACTAATATTTGATATTAATTCTTTTTTTAATTCTCAATATTCTTATTAAAATATTTCAATTATTCTAAACCTATCTTATTATTTATTCATTTATTAGATATAAATTTAATAGCTCAATCTATAGAAAAATTGATTTTAGTATATCAATTAGAAAGATAAATCTATTCTTAAATCACTAAAAATAGAAATATAGTTTCACTCTTTTTATTACTATATACAATCACTATAGCCCATTTTCTATTATCTAGTTATATTATCTTATTTCTACTATTTCGTTTAATATTAGTTATTATTATTCTAGGATATATTATATTCATTATAAAGCCTATTTCATTAAAATTATAGAAATTATAATTAAGAATATTATATTTTGCTTATATATTCGAAAATGATTGAAACTATTTCTTAATAAACTTAGAATCTTTATAGAGAATTCTTTAAAAGTTATAAATATAATTAAAATATGTTTTTAATTCGATTTGATACTTTACAAATCAATATATCTAAAACTCTTTAATATACTTTATATTTCTCAATATAAGAATATAATTCATTATATCATTTATATTTCTTAATTTAGATAAAAATCCTTTGATATTTATATTAATTATTTATTCAGAAATAATATTCTTTCTTAATTCTAAAAGATTATAAAATATAGATTGATATTTAGAATTAAAAATAACATTATTAATTCTATATTATAATATTATATTCGAGATATTATATATCTTTATAATTTTTTAAATACTTATTTTTTTGTTTTTTTGAATAGTTTTGATAATAAGGAGTATATAGACTTCTTGATTATTCGAATTTATCATAAATTATTAATAAAAATGTGTATTGAAAGAGAAGAGAGTGAATTGAGATAAAAGTAATCCGCATACTAATACAATCTGTACACTAATAAATCACGTTACTTATTCCTTTCTTTTTCGATTTAGATTAATAAAACTTTCAAATTTCTTATAATCTAATTAAAGCTCTTTTTTTAATTAATATTAATTAAATCTGAAATAATTTATTATTAATTGAATTTTCTTATATCTATATTTGAAACTATATTTATTTTCATTAAAAATATAGAATAATTAGCTTATAAAATTATACTTTTGAATATAAAGATTCATATATTTCAAATAACAAATAAAATGTTAAGTAAATATTAATATATATAAAAGATTCAATTATATTAAAAAGAAATACTTATTAAACAAAAAGCTTTTAATATATTATTTTAATAAAAAATCAATATTCAGATTTAATATAATAGATATTAAAAAGAGAGTAAATTCAATAAGAAAGTATTTTTAATTTGATATTATAATAAATATAGAAAAACAGATTATAAAATAAGAATTTATCAAAATAATATAATAGATTTTAGGTTATCAGATTATAAATGGTTTTAATTAATTAATTTAATTATTATTAAATAATATAGATTTGAAAATGTAAATTGAGGTAAAAGTGATATACGCACTAATATAGTAAGTGCACTAATAAACTACGTTATTCATAAATTTAAATTACTAATTGATTTATATAATCTTATCAATTTTTTGTATCAAAAGCTGTTAGTATCACCATGGGGATAGTGAAGGCAATATAGTACTATGGTTCACACTATTGAAATATTACTTGAGGTTCTAAAAGCTGGGACTACAATACGTGTATACTAAAGTGCCGAGGCACTAGCGCTAGTGCGGTTACAAGATCCCTGTCCCGACAAAAGCATATTAACAATTCAAATTATAATATTTTGATATAAGTATTTACTTCATTA